ACCGAAACAAATTGAAGATTATCAACAAACCACAATGTCATCAACGAGCGAAAATGACTATGCTCAAGATCGATCAGAGTATGAATCAGAAGATGTTGTTGCTTCACCTTCCACAATTACTAGCAAACAACAAAAATCATCTCTAAACAAAAAGGATCAACAACAAGATCAAACGATATCGCCTATGGTGGCTAAAAGAATGTTAGAGGCTGTTTTGAACGGTGATTTAGATGTTGTACATATTCAACCTTATTTTTCATCATTGGTAAGTCTGATTCAATCGGGTGAAGTCGAACTGGAACGTGATCAAGCCGAACAATTGCTAAATAAAGTATTAATTACATCTAATTCGGCGAAAAAAACAAATGAACCGGCAACAACAACCACATCAACAAAATCCTCAATAAATGAAAAGAAGAAGAGAATGACAACATCCACATCATCTTCATTGAAAACAACAGCACACACAAGTTCAAATGGTGAGTGAAACTGAAGAAATGCAACGCGTACAACAGATGTGATGTGACATGTTCTAATGATGTTAGATATTGTTGATCTGAGAAATCATCTGAGATAATTTGAGGCTAAATAACAATGGAGAAGATTGAGATCAAGTGATCTTTAAGAAAGAAGTGTAACTGGCAGTTTGTCTTTCATCTCTTATCATGATCTCCATTTACTTGAAAATGTGAACACTTAAAGAGTAATGTAGGTTTGAACTCAATTTGTTCAGTTATATTTTGCTGCTATGATAGCAAACTATTTTTTAATTGTTTAAATACTCTACTCTCTTTTTATATATTTTGATCATCGTTTATCTCGTCATTCATCATCATTATCAAATCGGGCTCATAATGATATCGTAGTATCCACAACAACATCTACACCAATTCCTATGGCTTTATCGCCAGTCAAACATTCCACTTCTCTATCAAGTGACAAAACGAGAAAACGTACAAGTGGTGAACATTCAACTTCGTCTCATAGAAAAAAAGTATCTCCATTATCTCACAGTATTGCTTCAACACATGCAACAAAACATATCTCTTCGTCATCCTCTCGTCATCCAAACAACGTATCATATGTAGCGAAAGATTTATCATCAAGAAAGAAAGATATTCAACATTTCCACAGTGGACACTTATCACGGTCATCCTCTTCATCATCATTATCGGCCGCACGACCAAAATCTTATCATCATCATTATCACCATCAAAAAGATTATCTATTATCACCATCAAATAGTGCAAATAAAAAACTGAAACGGTCATTCGTTTAAACCTTGTTATTTTGTTTGTAGTTATAGCCTATTTGATTTTTGTTTGTCTGTTGTTTCTATTATTTACTAATGATCGTTAAAATAAATTTTACTTTATATACTTTATAACACTTACCTTTGTGAGGACCACTGGGTTTTTTGATCGCCATGTTATACTGATATAAAAATATATTCTACTTGCTTAATGTTCACAAAGCAAAAATATCAGTTGTTGCAAAAGTTTCGTCATTCTCATCTTCATCTTCACTCACAATTTTTACTCTAACAGTAGAAAATTTTTCATACTTGTATTATCTGTAGAATAATGAAAAACATTCCTTCACACTCGATACAAATTTCACACTGTTCGACTCAACTCTTCTTTACACTTTATATTGTTTTCTACATATTTTCTTTCTAGTAACATCTGTCTTGATATATTTTTTAGTATTTTTTTCGTTTTTTCTGATCAGAGTTTTACTAACAATAAAGTGACGACTTTATTATAGAAATTATTCTAGAAAATAGTACGTCATTCAATGTCTCACTTTTAATTCTAATGCGAAACGACATCCATTCATCTTTAATGTTATTTTCTTAAAGTAAAGAAATAATAACATAACGGCCTATGCACAAGTTTTATACAAGATGTTGAGCGCTGTTTCTTCAAGTTCACACTATTCTGGAGATTTCGTTTTTTTTTGTTTGAAGTCTACTAAGTGTACATCAAACAACATTTTCTTTTGAGAAAAAATTCAAAAACTAAATATCACTAAAAATGTTCTGGTACATTGTCAAAATGTCCGCTCTCTATCTTCTTCGAAACGGTTGTTTTCTTGTTTAAAGATAAGTTTGAAGAATGATTGCTTATTGTATCTAAGTTATTTGATTTTCGTGACGAAGTAATTGCTTGTCTGGTCACCGTTAGAAAATCAATTAGTCAACATTAATTGCCAATTCTTGAATTAACATATGAATTTTTCTTCCAATTTTTGAACTAAATCTTGATCTTCATTCAATTTTTAATAATTTTATATAAAATAAAATCTAATCTCATTTACTTCCTGTTTTAAGTGATGTCTCTGCTGAAAGTCCTAAACATTAAATGCAAAATCTCGATTTTCAAAAAAGTTGACTTTTAGAAAGCGTTTCAGAAATCCACTAAAAGGGAACTTGAAAATTTTCTAAAAAGATCGGATCGATAGAATTTTTCATGTATTTGGTTCCAGTAAAAAGTGATTGATTATTTTTGACACCAGTGAAAAGATTTTCTTGATATGTTTTAGTAAAATTTTACCAAAACATTTTTAGTGATGTTTAGTTTTTGCATTTTTTCTTAATAAAATTCTGCTAGAAAAAATTTTGGTTGATGCACATTTTATAGTTCAGAATTTGCTCTTTCAAATAAAAAAAACGTGAAATCTGCAGAATAGTGTATACATGAAGAAATAGCACGCGATATTTTGTGCAAAATTTATGCATAGGCTGTTATTTTACAGAATACAGTAGTAGATTTTTGATATAAAGTCCGTTGGTGACGCACACGCAGAACATATAGTTCGTTCAATATATTCTTATACGTCCGATTTTTATAGTTCTGTATTTCATTCCTGAGGGTCTGTCTCATTTTCATATTCTACTATGTAGCTCAATAATAATTTAATAATTGAAATCTGAATGGTATGAAGGACGTTTTTTCAGTCATTGTGAGACGCAAGTAAATAATTAATACCGATTCGTATTAATAGAGTCGTTTTAATAATTGTTAGACCTTCTATAATTTGAATATTATGAA